AGAAACTTTTTTTTAAATAACCAATCAAACTGTCTATTTACTTAATCCACATTCTCTAAACATTTATTCGTTAATAGACGCATTTTTAAATGTTCACTAGGTATACATAACAACCACAATTACTCCAAAATCTCAGTCATATGAACACTCTTCTCAGAAAGTATAGTTGGCAATCGTGGTCCTGACCAATGTGCCAGAAACAGAATGACCAGTCACTAAAGTGTTAAATAGCACAAAGGAAAACAAAAAAAGGCTGCATCAGAAATACTTTGACGTGTAGGAATAAATATAATGTATGCTATAAAGCTTATGGAGCTGCAGAAGTAAGCAGGGTGTGACAAAAAGCCGAACATTTTCAACACCACATCAAACAACTGTGTACAAATCAAAATTAACCTTTCCAAAAAGTTAACCATGGCTGGAGTGAGCTCTTCTCCTCCATCCATGACACAAACTGAGAATCTGAAAGAAACAGATATTATTTGAAAGAAAATCCACAACTGTACGATATTAATGAAAATTTATTTGGAAAGAGCAACATTTATTCTGTTGATCTTGATTGCATCATTGTGTGGGTGCTATTCACAGCCTTGGTCATAAAAATCAAAACCACTAAGATACTCGGGAGTCTTAATAGTTCTTCGGGTACGGTGTTCGCCTGTCAACGCAAAGGCACCTGATTCTAAGGTAGGTAGGATCAAACACCAAGTCTTCTTCACTAAAGACAATAACTTTTAGAGGTGCCATGTGTAAGTTTCACACCTAAAAGATCCCATGACAGTTCTAAAATGAGAAAGAGCCGGTCCTTCTGGCTGCCATCCAGGCAAAATTCAAAATTAATTCCTATCCAGAAAAGAATCCACTCTAGTCTGCATAAATATTTAGAAGTTGGAATATCCTCAAAAAAAGGCAAGTGGCTGCCTGTCAGGCAAGGAATGGTTCTACGTTCTATTTAGATAAAACAGCAACCTGTGTAAAAATCAACTGCACAATGACATGAAGATCTTAGTTAGTCACCGCATAAGCTCTGCAGGGTACACAAAAGAAGAATTGACATTCAAGGGGTACTCAGATTTAATGTAAAAAAGATGCCAGTACCAAACAGAAATCATTCCAGTATAAACTTTAAAACCCTTCCAGTAATTCTGTAGTTAAAATGCATGGGGTTGTTTTTTTTATGTCACCATGCATGTAATTGGGCACTGCTTTTTTTTATCCAGCTTAGAGAACCTCCACATGTTGATCACAAAAAACACAAATCCTACAATGTCTTAAAATATAAACATGTGTATTTCAACATAAATGATCCTCATAACCCCTGTGTTCTTGCAGTAAAAAATCTCCTTTGTTGTATGTAATGTGTGACAAGCATGGCACTCCCATTAGAGAATTCAAGAAGACTTTCTAAGAGCTTAAAAAATTGTAAAGTGTTCAATACAGTCAAAAAAACTAAAAAGGATGATAATATCAATAAGAATAATCAGGAACGCAAAAAACCATTGACAAACTTTTGTCCATCACCTTTCGATCATCACAGAAGAACGTCTTCAAATAAAGATCACAGAGAGAAACACCTGTGTTGAAAAGGGCATCGTCAACCAGAAAAGTATGAGTTAAGTATGCATACAACACAGAAAAGTATTAAACTATCACAATGAAGGTCATAAAACATATAAGTGTAATTCAGTTACGAGAAATCTAGCATCATCCTGTCAATATCAGACTGAAAATTTCAAGCCAACCGACGTGGCAAAACCTACTGAAGCACCGCAAACATTTTTACAAACAAAGAAAATAAGCAAGACTATATATTTAACAATTCAATCAATCAATAATTAAATTTGCTATTCCACATTATCTAAATAACAAAATTTGAGCGACATACACCTTGTATTGTGCGTATAGAACCTTCCAACAAGACAGAATTGAAATAAAGGATGTGTTAGATTAACATCAAAGACAATGTTTGCTTATACTAGTGTTACGCAAAATAAAGGAGTACATTTCACAGAGTTGACAAGGAAATAAAAAAGACTTAAAAGATTTTAGTTTTAGTAAGCGCTTTACTGCACTTGCAACACAAAAAAGTGATAACAACAGATAAGTGCTGAAGATTAGAGGTGTTACAAGAGAGTTTCAAACACAACAAGGAGAAGAGATGAGAATGACAGATATTTGATAGGAAAGAAGGAGCAAACCAAACCAAAGCACCCACCGACTACCTGCTGTTAAAGCTTTGTTTTATTTTTCTACGCCAACTTTAGAGTTCTGATTTTTATGGCCAAGTGTACAAATCAATACTTAATTCTAAAGAGAATAAAATAAACTGAACAGTCACCACTTCAAGGTATAAGCATGGCACATTAACAAACCTACAAAGAAAAAAAAACGTACACCAAGTCATCTTTCACACAAATCAATGTTAATAAATTAAATCTACCTAGAAACTGGCCCAACAATGGCAATCCCAATTCTTGAAGAATCACGTTCATCACATTTGTCAGACATTCAATCAGAAACAGTACAAATAACCAAATTTAGCACGTAAAAAAAACAACCCAAAGTGACAAAGAGTCATTTTGTTCTTTAAACCAGGATGAATGAAGGTTACAAAGGCAGGGACTTTTTTTCACAGGTACATGCATGAGCAGCATTTCATAAACAAGATAACACAGAAAATGTGTATCATTATTGGTGAGCTGCTTGTAAAAGCTGGCATTTTCTATACACCTGGTCATTATAACAATAACTTCATAAATCATCTAAAAATTATGAAAAGTGTTCAGTAACAATAAAGTTTTTTTTTAAAACAACAATATATGAACAGTTTGATAGCAAACATGACAACTGTCATATTCAACGTTTAGCCAAAACTAGATTGTGGGGCACAATCCAGAGTCAACTTCTTTTTTCACAAAACACAATTATCTCTCTTTAAATGACTGCCAGATGTGATTTTTTTTTTAAACATGATAAAAGCAGTCCATCTTTCTTGGAACACAACAACTATCCTTTGTGCATCAATCATGTTCTTTCCTTGAATCACATGATATTGTTTGTAGTCAACAAAAGTTTACGGACATTCTTTCCATTTTTAATTATGGCGTCAATGTTTCTCATATTTAAGTTTCCTAAATTTGTTGAATTCAAAGCACATGGACATCATAATATTATGGATTGAAGCTGAACAAAATTAAAGAAACATCAATTCAGACAAAGATAAAGACAGTGAAATAATTGAACAGGTAGATTTGACTTTCTGATACACAGAGTTGTACAAAAATCACCCAATCCGTTGGTTTTGGTATCATTTTCACAGACATTTTATGAGCACTGGTATCATTAATCATTTTTAGATCAGACCCAAGACTGTTTTGAAAAAAATTAACATTATTCAATTAAAGATTTATCTCCTTTCTGTAAAAAAATTCATGTGGATATGTCCTGTTTTGGCAAACATGTGGAAGTCTCATTAATTTCAAGGATAAGTATTAAAACATTGATTTGACTTGTAAATATTTCACTTTGAATTATTTTGAGGGTATGGTATAAAATAATGTAAAATGAAAACTGCTTTTAAAATCTATTCTTGAAGCACATTTTCTCTTCCCTTCTATGTTTTACCTTTGAATTCTAATCATGATATTGATGTCAACTGAATGCCAAATTGGAAAAGAATTTCCCCTTAATAAAGGCAGTTAAAAAATTATTTTTTTTCACGTTTGTATGTGTTCTCAACTTTGTTAAACTTAAAAGCTCATTTTCTCAAAACGTTATCTTTATATCCTACCTCACAAAATGTGCAATATCTCAAACACTACTTGAGATATCTGAAAAATTCAAAAAGCACTGTGTTCAACATTGAATTTCCTATAAATATAATGTAAAACCCATAACCAAAATGGTCAAAATCTGACTTTTGGTACCTTTCTTCCGGCACACACACAAATATCCACCCTTGTGATGATACAAATCTAGCAGTCAACAAGAGGGAGCTCAGAAATACGGTTCCTGGAAGGCTCAGGGGACCAGGACTCAAGGATGTAACAAGAGACTTTCTTTCTTTCAATGAATACAGAGCATGTTCTCCTGTCGTCTACTCTAGCAAGGTGTTAGATAACAATCCTGGCATTCTCAAGCAACAAATGAGGCAAAATAGCTAAGAAAAAGCTACCAGATGTAAGAGCATATGCTGGGGTGTTCAGTAGTTACAATAAAGATGTCTGTTTGATGATGTAGCCCTCTTATTATGTATTCTTATTAACATGTCTTGTCATCAATGGCAGCATATCTTAAAATAACTCTAAAAGCTATGATTGAGTAGGTGTTTTACGGCACGATCGACCCAACTTTGGTCATTTAAGCTACTCATTGACTCTTTATAGAAAGAATTATAAAAGATGCATTCTACTTCTACAGGCAAACTTGAAATTTCACTTAATGAAAGGGAAATCCAAACATTGTAAAATAGACTTCTTCAAGCTGATCCCTACACAGTTGTTCTACATTTTAGAGTTTGCCTCACACTAAGTTAAATGCTCTCCATATTGAAGGTACAGTACCTTTCACCATGTCAAGAAAAAATGGGAAATAGGGAAAGATAGAGTAGACAGGGATGGGTTCGTTCATTAGCCTCCACTTTTACATCAAAATAGAAAAACTCCACACTTGAACAAAACAAACTCAATTTTCTCAATTAGGTTGCACAACCAATGATTGCCATTTTCATGTCTACAGTACTAACAAGGGGTTTCTATCAAATGCCCAAACAAGCACCTCTGCCCACACTGGGAACAGTCCTGTGGTCTGCTTCTACCAAATACCTGTGCCATGAGGACAAAGCAAACGCATAAAACAATGGCCTCAGTGAAGCCCAGACAGAAAAATCTTTCCCTAGCTTTTTGCATCTAAATGTGAGGCGTCGTGGTGAAATTAGGCGCTCATCAAAATAATGAAATAATGAAATAGTAGATATTGTCATTTTTCCTCCAGTTTGACCATTTTTTTCCAATTTTTTTTTTTTTTTGACTCAACACCTTTTATGTCCATATAAAAACACATTTCAATGTGAATTTTACTGAAAAACATTGATTAAAGGCTCAAAACATGTCATTATTCAGTTTTAGAATACTCTTTAGCTATCGGAGTCACCAGCCATTTTCTTGCTCATTTCAACGCTGAAACCAGGTGACCTCATTTCCTTCAATCACAAATATCTAGAGTTCTATTCAAGACAAACAGCTATTTATTTCATTGGAAGCAAGGCAAATAAATCAGCTTTCAGATGTTACCAATAACTCCACAAGCCCAAAAACTGATGAGTGCCTGATACAGGCCTGATGAAACCTGTATGTTTTTTTAAGAGCAAAAACTACTGGACCAGCCACGATTCACATTCACTATACCACCAGTGGTTTTCACAAACACCCATGTGCATGTGTGTGATCAAGTTCTGTGACTATTTAGGCCATCACATTCACATGTCAAGTCATCTGAGCCTTAGTCCTGCATGGCAAGTTACCTCATATAATGCCATGTTCACTGGGCATACTTTTATTCCTCTAATCAGTGTTGTATTGTATTAATACATCATCTCACGTTCGTAATGAGAAAGTCTCCCAACTCGCAACCATAAAGTCGTGGGTTCGAATCCTATAAGGGGCCCAGCGTTGTATCTTTTGGGAAGGCACTTTACTGTTTACACGAATTTTCCTCACTTCAAATAGGTGAGAATGGGTGCCCAGCTATAGGCAGCGAAAGATCCTGTCAGTTTGTCAGTGCTCCCCGGAAAGCCGAGAATGTTTCTGGGTGTTCTAAGGTCTGCAGAGACATAGATAAGTGCTATATAAATTTTATGCAATTACTACTATTATTAGATCTCAGGCAGACACTATTGTAACATAAACCCTTCAATAACATTGTTTAACAGAAGTTCTTTCATCATCCTCCGTAGGTTTCTGATTTCGAGATCCTCGCATCCCCTCACTGCTCATACTTTCAGTTACAGGTCTGGGGCATTCAGGGAATGCCATTTGAGGAGCAGCAACTTCATCACCTTGACTACTCGATGGACAGCCTGCACAAAAACAAAAGAGAAAATAAAATAAGAAAAGTCAGAGACAATCATCGGAACTATTTTCAGCAGCTGTAGCCCTAACTGGAGATGAGTTTAGCTTTTTGCTTGTTTTGAAAAAACATTTCTGTGTAACATTAAAACAAAGCAGAGCACTAATTTTTCTCGCGCCAGTAAACAATGTTAAGCAGACAACAAAAATAACCTGATATAATACTGTGATAAGCCCTCTTTCTTCAACATCATTGTACCATTTTTGTGTGTAAGAAAAAGAGGAAAATCTAACAGTTACACCTCTTGAGAGAGTTGCATCATTCACATTTAAAGAATAATTACATGCTAATATGGTTTTTTTAACTAAAAGGATACTCGTAATTTTGTTTACCATCAGCAGAAGGCACACTTGACCTTTGACTCCCTGACAAAGCCTGAGTACTGAAAATAGAAACAGGAATATGTCAATACATAAAGAAAAGCAATATCAGTATATCATTTAAGACACACAAAAAACTTCCGCTAGCTTTTCAGAAGAAAAAAAATAGATATACAATACTGTCTGAAAGCAAGACTCTCTGTACTAACTGCTCATCTAGCTGTAAAATTAGTCAGTTCTTTGTTTTAATTACTTTAGAAATCCAGTAAACCGTCTTTATACATACATAACATACTATTATGTACAGCTGACTTTGGTCACAAGCATGACCTGGACCTATGAATTTCATGATACTGTCTAAACTCTCCATTAATCAATAGTCCTGACACAGAAACAGAGCAGTAACCCTTCTGAACTTCTTCTTTTTCTTCAAGTGTTAGGTCTGGAGCAGACATTGCCGATCATAGCACCCCATTCCTTTCTGTTGTCTGTCTTCTTGATCAGCTCAGTTTTTCTCTTTGCGCTATTCGCTATTCATTGCAAAGTTGTTCAGGCCATCTGTGTATGTTGTTCTTTGTCTTCGTCTACTCTTCTTTCCCTCTATCTTTCCTCCCCTCTTCTGAGCTCAGAATGCACTTTAAAAATACATAAGAAAAGAGTTAAACACTGGAAAAAAATTACCTTAAGTCTTCAAATTCATTCCTCTCTTGCTTCCCAAAATTATTCTCCTTTCACTGAACATATTGCCACGGAGTCCCACATACAGTGGAAACCATATATAACAGGCCCGGTAATAACAGGGATCCGGTAATAACAGGGATATTGTAAATCCCCGATTTTTCCTACTCTTTGTCTCTATTAAAAGCTATCGGCAATAACAGGGCCTCATCGGAGCCCAACCAGTTATAGCAGGGACAAAGGCTCGTTAACAATGAGTAAAAAGTAAGAGAGAGAGAGAAACGCAGTGATGGAGCAAGCCCATGCAAGCCATGCCACTGCAATCACATGCAGCGTGTGAAGCGAGAGAGGGCTGTGGTGTGCGGCAGACCTCGATCTTGCCCGAAACCTAGCTACACGCAGGCATAATGTGTCTACTGTCACCAACGATGTCAAGCGCAAGAGAAAATGCCTTTCAATTGACAAAAAAAAAACCCCAACGAAATAATCCAGGCTGTTGACAAAAAGTTGAAAAAGCAAGCTCCAGTGGCAGAAATTTGTCGTCAGTTCGACATTCCACAAGGGTCAATTCACACCATTACCATGGATAGAGAGAAGGTAGCGGCAGCATACTCCAATGGAAAGTTTGCTCTGGATCGAAAGAAGATGAAACTACCCGATGCAGAAGCTGTGGAACAAGCTCTTCTGGTGTGGTTTAAGGAGGCAAGGAGAAAGTTGGTGCCAAAACCCCTGTTCGTGGGTACTTGTGGCAAGGGCAACTACCCATGAATAAGTACAGCTGGATTAGTCCACAAATGCTTATTTTCCTAGCATTTCTGATTTAACAGGGATCGGATATAACAGGACATTTTCTCTGCTCCCACCATCCCTGTTATATCAGGTTTCCACTGTATTACACCACAACATGGCAGGCAACAATAATTTTAAAAAATATAAAAAAGCATTCAAATGTTTTTATTTATATCCTGCTTTCATACATAACTCTATAACACCACCCTTTCCCTTGAATAGCAACTGAAAACATGATCACCATTTCTGGACAAATTTTTCTAGAAAGAATACCAGCATGATTTTGACTGACCCAATTTATTGACAGCAAGTGAATTTATTTTTCTGGTTTATATCACATGTGACTCTTGTTGTCCGCCGTAAGTCACGATCGGCATCATTCATCATTAACGGAGGAATAATAACTTGAAAACGCTACATTTTTTTAAGAGGGAAAGCTGAGGGCAATATGTTTCTCCCTTAAAAATTATTAAAGTACCAATGGGACTCCTCAGGCACTTGAATTATTAATCCCTTTATCAAGACAAGAGTATTACATAAATGTACATGTCTTTTTATCTCCGTCATTAAATATTGTGAGGTAATAAAGCTTATGACAATGATGGACAAGCTGCCCAATGACAAATGGTACAAGTTAGAATAGGGATATTTTTCTTCATCAGAAGTCACAGATTGCTTTTTCCCTCATGTTGCACGTGTGTACAATAGACTGCTTGATTTTCCTGACCTGAAAAAGTAAACCTAACCCAAGGCAAGAACACAGACCCTCTAACTCAATACTACTCAAAGACCCAAGTATAATAAGCACAGATAAAAGGTATGGCAGTACAAGGGAGCAGAGCATAAGACTTATTTGCTTTGGTAAGTGATTTACAGCGCTCGCAACTGCATAGGGTCATATGAGCGCGCTGGACACATTAAGCATTTTCAGTTTGGTAAGAATTAATTTTGAATTTTGCCGAGGTGGCAGTCGAAGTCTGCTCTTATTAATTTTAACCAAGGAATCTTTAATGTTTGCAACTTGCAAACAGGACCTCCGAGATTTTTCAACCTTATCTGGGAGGGCTAGCTGTTAGATCTAACCTACCCTAAGATCAGGGGTGTGGCTGAAAAAGTAGTAAGGATCCAGGATTAGCAGTAGAAAGAGTCAGGAGCCCGTAGGAGGGGGAAAAGGGGGGAGGTAGAAAGTGGAGATGAAAGCAGACGACAGAACATGATTAGTGAGAGGGGAAGGAAGAGAAAGGAGATAATTTTAGAGAAGAAAATTGTCCGTCGCTGTCAGGTGTCAATTGCGGGACCTATTGACTGAGAGGCAAACATCATATCCCTAGACCATGAGAGCCCCTACAGAACAAGACAAAGGGTAGGCATGTGGCACATAATGTGTTCTAACAATGCCATTAAAAGGTCTAGCTACATTGTTCAAAAGTAAAAGATATGGGTGCAAACGAAGGTGAGCTCGCTAGGCACACACAACATCATCAGATGCCATGACGAAGTCAAAGGCGAAAAAATTCACAGCAAAGAGGTGTCAAGCTAAACAAGAAGTAGGTAAGCAAATTAAACTGCATGGACTACTTTATTTAGTTCCCATACCATTGTGCACACAATGAAAATTCTAGCATAGCCAAGGCAGCATATCAAGGTTAATAAAAAAAGACTGATGACTTGCTGCTCTATTAATACTTTATTTGCAATAAATCCTTTAAAGTACGTTTAAATTAGCATAACGTCTGCGAATGGAATACATATTTCTTAATTTACGGCTAATTTGAATACAATTCACGACCTTGTGTTCCCAATTTGTTCAAGTTATCTGCATCCAACTGCAACAGCAAAGACAAAGGCAAAAGGATGGAAAATCAATTACCATAGGGAGTATTACAACCCTAGAAATACATCTATCATCCTGTGATAGAACATTAACAACATTGAAAGAGATGTTGAAAACTTGGCCATTTGTTATTCTCCCCCCCCCCCCCCCCAAATGATTACCTTGAACTGGAGGGTTTTTTAATTTATTTTTTTTTAAACAGAAAAGCTAAGATAATAAATGACAAAGTTGTAAGTATGCCTACCTTTCTGAAGATGCTTGTGCTTCACAGTTGTCATCACCATCATCACTGTCAGGGTCTTCATCTCCGCTGCTGTCCTCTTCAGAGTCAATGCTTTCGTCATCTAGGACTCTACTCACACCAGGGGATGGTTGATTGCGAACAGATATCTTAGACTTGGTTCCAATGGTTAAGTTCTCTACAGACTTAATGCTTATGGTTTTGTGATGATGGTGAATGTGCTGGGTTACCACAGGCTGGCCACTACTGCCACTAGATGTATTACTTCCACCCACGGCAGAGACACCTAATGAGCCAATATTAGAGTCCTGTTGTGGACGAAGTTGAGCAGACGACTTTACACTGGTTTCAGAGGGTGCACCAGGATTCTCAGAACACACGGACCCCTGTGAAGTCTCCCCCTGAACGCTGCTGACGGCCGGCTGAGAAGGGTAAGAAGCAGTGTCAACAGGCAGAGGAAAGGAGTAAGGTCTTGGCTGGTACTGACTGGAGAGTGGGGGAGTGAAAAGTGCTGAGCCACTGGACGCCACAGCCTCAGTGGAAGAAGCAAAGCTGTACTGGGAAGATGGTTGACTCTCAGTAGGAAAACGTGAGTGATGTTGTAACAACTGTGGAGGTGGGACAGGTCCTCCGACTACATGAGGATGAAACTGATGAAATTGGGGATAGTACATGTGTAGATGAGGGTATCCATGGTACATAGGTGGCATCCCCGGTCCTGGGTATAGTATTCCATGTCCAGCTACTGTTGAAGGGTCATACACAACATTTCCACTAGTAACATTCTCATTCCCTTGCATCATAGTACGTCGTTCAACCATATTACGTATGTAATTTTCATCTACTTCTAATGATGGTCCATCCACTTGAATATCAGATGAACTGTCAGCATATGCAGGTGGAACAAAACAGGGATACGTATACATATTTGAAATAGGTGGATAAAAAGGAGACACCTTTGCATGCACTTCAGGGTACACATCCAGTTTTGATTCTGTTACAGTTCCTGAAGTTTGTTTATACTTAATATTCCCTGTGCTGGAAGGCTCTGTAGGCCTAATGCTGCTACTTCTTTGAGCATCTGTCTCTTTTATCCCCTTACAAGCATCTTTCACTTCTCTGACAATTCCTTGACTAGATTCTTCAAGACTTAGTCCTTGAGAACTTTGAGAAGAGCCTGTAGGAGTGAAACGGGCTTTAAGAGCTGTGCCCTGACTCTCTTTTTGTTTGAGCTCATCTGTGTGTCGTATCAACTCAGCACGTTTTTGCTTCAGTGTATTTTTTTTTGCTTCAAAATAAGCCTTCCGCTCCTTGTTAAGATTTGCATCTTTTAAGAGACGACTTGCTATTCTTCCTTGAAGTAGGTTCCGAACTGAGTCTGTGTAAAACTGATCCTTACTCCAATATTTAATGGGTCTAAGACTTCCCAATAACATAGGTAATTTGTAATCCACACTTTTTGAAGGTTCTGTATGAACAGGTACAACACACCACCTTTTTGTTTTATTCTTGATGGTGTCTACCAAAACTGCATGGCCTTGCAAAAGGGTCTCTTCATTTAAGCAAAATTGTTTTGTGATGAACAAGAATACATACAGAGTTTTAGAAAAAGCAAAATCCAAATGATTGTGCGGAGAATCAGAATGAAATTCAGCCAAAAGTTTGACCCTTGGTGTAAGACTGAGACCGTGCATAATGACAATTATGTCCTTCTCCAAATGTTTTTTGAAATCAAGTGCCTGGTGATAATCTTCCTCTGCATTAATTATTAATATATCACAGTGGTCTTCTTTCAGTTTTTGAGGCATTAAGTAAATAAAGTTTTGATAATCATCAATGTCTTCTGATTCAGCCGGCCTCCGAATCTGGACTACAGAAAAAGCTGTCACCAATGAACTAACAGATGCCTCATCATTATCTTGCTTCTCTTGCATACATGATTTGGGCTGAACTTCGAAATCAGTTGGCCTGTCTGAAAGGTCTGAAAAGACAGAAATTTGTAAGACAGAAATACTCTTAGACAACACCACCTTCACAGTAAACTTTATGCCATGAAAATATGAACTACAACACAGGCATTGTTCATCTCAATACAATCAGTGAGCGAAAAAAAAATATATAGTGGCAGCCAAAAGAAACTTTAAAATGTATTCACCCAATCTCGTATTTAAAGCCTTGCACTACCCACTCATGCAGCTAACCAATTTAAAGCTAAATGAATTTTGAATCATCTGACATATATATTAATATTTCATCTATGATAAGAGTCACCCAAGACAATGGTCATTCAAAATTAACCTTAAAAAATCAGACTTGGCAAAATTGTGCTAAATCTGTATTCGCAGGTGTATTGATGTACATTAACATTGGTGGAATGGACATGTATTGAATATCAAATTAATTGAAAATAGCTTGGTCGCTGCAATGAAAAAATATCTTATTGCAATATTTTCAAACAGATTTTAAAAAACGGAACAGTCACTAATACCACACAAAAGCTGGACATAACATTAAATGTATGTGTGTAAGTGTGTGTGTGTGGGGAGGGGGAGGAGCGAGCATATGTGTCACGACGTGGTGGAATCAGGCCCTTGTCAATTTTTGGGCATGTGGAGTTATTGGTATCATCTTAAAGCTAGTTCATTTGCCTTGATATCGGTGAAAAAAATACTGATCTATCTTGAAAAGAAAATGAGATATTTGAGATTGAAGGGGGAGGGGTCCCCTGGTTTCAGCAGCAGAATTAGTGATAAAATGGCCACCAAAGTTTGCTTATTTCCATAGCTTGATAGTCCGTGGAAACTGAAAACTTACCTTTTGGTGCCTTTAATAAATGTTTTTCAGAAAGATCCACACAGAAATGAGTTGTTAATTGGACAAAAATGGTGTTGAGCCAAAAAAAAACAAAGCGATAACAATAGCCAAAAGGGCAGAAAAATGGCGGCTTCTTCAGTTTCATTATTTTGACGAGCGCCTGGTTTAACCACGCTGCCTCACATAATTGTGTGTATGTATTTATGTATGTGTGTGAGTGAGTTAAAGATGGTATATAAATTTTATGTGCATGAGCATGCGAGTGCCTGTTACATGTGTGAGTGTGTGGATGTGCTGGAGGAGGTACACATGCATGTGTGTGAGCATGAGCATGTATGTGGGCATGCGTTATAAGAGTGAACAGTAGAAAAAAAACTATTCCTGAACACACAAAGCACATAAGGAATGCTGCTGTAATGGAAGATGTTCAAGATTTCAGTTTATCATTGTTCACATTTTACTCCTTAATTATCATTCCTTAGTCCCTGACGTCAAACATACTTACACCAACCCCTTGATATATGTATTAGTTTGAGGTTACAACTTTTTTAGCACAAGGAGGGCAAACTCCTCTACAATACTCTAAGCTGAGAAGTGCACCTTCCACAGACAAAGGTGGAAACGAACATTTAGATGTCATCCAAGTCCAAAGAGTAACTTCGCTAACAAATTATAGTACTTTGCTTCTGAATGATCAAATCCTCCAAACCACAGTTCATTTCATGATTTTAAATACAGGAATCAACTTGGGGCTATCAGGGATCCGCAAGCTCAGCTCAAGAAGACGCATGAGTAAATTTAAAAGCAAAACTTTCACTTTTATAGTCACAAAAGAATCTTACAGGACACAAAGAAAAACACATCACTGAAGATTAACAGAAGACAGAGAGTGCACACTGTGCAATCACAAAAGCCTGCCTCTTTTTTTCCTACACTATAAGTATGAAGTAACAAAAGAATATCTGTAATCAAACGTTCGTGTACTTCATTCATCATACAATATCAGGACTATCATCATATATTTCAAAATTAACTAAAGCTTATAGAAACAAATGAAAATATAACTTACATTCAGGTTCTAGTTCAGCATCTGTCTGAATATCATCCTGCCTAGGGTCAGCAGACGCCATGTTTTCGGTCAGTACTTTAATCCCAATATGACCTGAAAGTACACATTTATGACATTGCGTTGAGGAATAATTTCCTAAAAATAAGAAGAAATTTGACCTGGTCGCCATTTTATAACTTGAAAATGAAAAGACAGTACCTAACAGAGTATAAAATAAAGATTCCCTCTCCAACTTAATGTATACAATATTAACTAAAAAAAATTCCCATTTTCAAAATGCCCCAATTTGTCTTCTTTTAGAGAAAATGAACAAAAGACTCCTGCTCTCGCTCCCTCACTTTCTCTCCCCCCTTACTGTGAAAAAAAATCAGACACGGAAAATACACGTTGCTCTGCGAAACTAGGCTATTTCAATGACTGGGTGCAAGACTCCGACAAATGCCAAAATGTAAAATGGCATTTGTCAGAGTCATGCCTCCAGCATCGATTTATGTTCTGATAGTTCAACAATCAAAGGACAGGCTCTATAAATTTTTGGGTGTTTGATAAAGGAAAACAGCCTACATCATTCCCATACAGTTTGCCTTTATATGTATTTTTAAATTGTCTAATGACTTTATATATATGCCTTCTTAGATCTTAAGCCTTTGTATTTGATTTTTTTTTTCTTTTAAAGCAATAATAACAGAAAGACAGAGTGAGCAAATAAATGAATTTTCTTCTTGAAAGAAATGTTCAGAAAAGAGATAACAAAACCTATGATGCCTAATTAGGTATCTGTCCCTGATGTTTGTGCAGACATAATGTGTTACGCACTCTACATAATTTATACTTGCTAAAGTTTATATTAAGGAAGAGATTTAAAAAGTTTTACCATTTCATTGCAAAGAAAACAAAGTCTCAAGAGTTTTTATTATAAAAACAAAATTCCTAATCATGTCTAAAGGGACAATTTATTTATTTTTGCTTGCAATGTACATGGCTCAAAGAGCATGATAAAGAAAACATGTAATTTACTCCTATTAAAGGGTACAGTATAATGAACATGGCCAAATATATATTTCAAAAGATATTTGCGATTGAAGGAGATGTGGCTCACCTAAAGTCATAGGCAAAATTAGCAAGAAAATGGCTGCCAAAGTTTGGCCAATTCCTAAGCTTGGATGTCTTTGGAAGCTGAAAATGTACATTTTTGGTTCCTTTGATCAACTTTTTTTTCCAATAAAATCCTCGCAAAACTGTGTTTTAAGTGGACAAAACAAGTGCTGAGCCCCCTCCCCCGCAGAAGAATGTTTGTTTCTTCATTTCAATATTTTGACCAGCGCTGATTCACCACGATGCCACATGTACAGTAAATGAACTACAAACAGAAGACTCTAGTATTTTAAAAATCCCTTTTACTTTTTTTCTGCTAATGACAACCTAAGCGAAAAAAAATTCCATGTGACCCCCCTCAAATTTGGTGTTTTAAAAAAACACTGTATTTTACAGGATACATTGTTCAAGACTGAAGCTTACTTAGTTATTTTTATCATTTTTGCCCCCCAAAAAAGCAAAAGCAGTCAAATCTGTCATAACGGTCACTCAAGATCATGTTGTTGTTGTTGTTTTCAAATCCCTTTAGCCGCGAGCATTTCGCTCCTCAAGATCATAAAGAAAGATGTCTGTTATTGGAAAGATGTCTGTTATTGACAGGTGACTGCTATGGACTTGGTCTCAGGCATGGTCACTTATTACCCATAAGAAAATGAATTCTCTCGTGGCACATATGTAAACCATCTACAACAACACTGCCTGTCACTGGGTAAGCGCTACACCTCCCGTTTTGTTCAATAGATAGTGCCTAGCCAGTAGAGCTGTGTCCATTCGATTTCACAATTCGACATTCATGATTTCTGCGCTAGTCAGTTATTCGAAGCGTGGAAGAGCCATTCGAATGCTGTGTGATTTTTCCCCATATATATAATGGACTTCTAATTTTTCTCAACCCGCAGTAGTAAAATTAAAGCATAATGAAATATCTAAATTCACAAAGATAAATTCAACGTTACGTTCAAATTGATGATTACGGGACAGAGTGATAAGAGGAGCCAGTAGGAGTTATAAAACATGCCTCTAAAAGGCACTCGTGATGCCATTAATAACTCAATAAACCAGAGCTTCAAAGCGCCACCAGAGATTTTGCATACATACATTGCATACTTAGCTCCAGTGGCGGCTCATGGTTTATAGAACTGACCGGCGGTCATCCACGTCGACTATTTTTCCCTCCCCCACCCCCTTCCTTCACAACACAAACACACACACACACACACACACACACACACACGCACACACACACATGCTCTCTCTCTCTCTCTCTCTCTCTCTCTCTCTCTCTCTCTCTCTCTCTCTCTCTCTCTCTCTCTCTCTCTCTCTCTCTCTCTCTCTCTCTCTCTCTCTCTCTCTCCTTATTTTATACCCCTACTTTCGCCATCCCCACCCCCTCCCCCACTCATACACACACACACACACCACAATAAACATTGTAATAATGTGAAAGAGCTAAAATATGCGGTAGTGTCAAGAAACAATATTATGAATAATGTAAGATGGAAGTTACTGAGATTAATAGAAACTCACTTGATCGGCACAGAAAAAGAAACACACTACTTGAGTCTAAGCTAGAAAACAAACAAAGTGAGAAGCAATAAACCGCTGGTCCTGGCCTCCAGTACAGTTCTTTACTCGTACTTTCTACACCCCTACACAAAATATCGACGTGCACTGAGCCCGTTAAATATATGTAATAAGAACTGTCCTGTATGATGACAAAAAGCCAATTGCTATTGTACCAGTGACGCTGTCCCAAGCAGATCAAGTCTACAATCAGATGCTATACAAAGCTGGACAAAGCACACACGTTTCCGATCATTATATCATCAAATGTACTTCATCGCTCTTCTCAGTTCTCAGAACTGAACACTGAACACTGTGTTGTAACAAAGTGGGGAAGTGTGTCAAATGCTAATTATAGGACTTGGTGTCTAGCTTGGGGTGAGGGTTGAAAAGGGGAGGGAAGGGAGGGGGTTTTCGGCCCAGACTCTAACAGCCGAGTGTCTATCGCTCCTTGTTAAAATTTTCCTTATATATCTTCACTAGACGATTCCTTCTTTCGCCGGCCAGATTCCTAAGGGCCAGGTAAGTTATTAGTGGGTAGAAAACGATGAGTAAATGCCAAACAGGAACTATAGGTGGTAAAAAAGTCAATAAACAAAAAGAGTAGTGCCATGCTGACAATAAATGATCTGATAGTAGTTAGAGAAAGGCAGAATGATAAAAACATGTTTTGCTGATAAAATAATACATGTGTCTGTGCTGCTCAAGACAGTTTCATTCTTAATTTTGTAAGCTACAAAGTGGCCAATCTGGCAATTAAGGGATATACTAATCTTTTTGTGGACTGACGATGGATTTGTCCATGGGACTGACGTCATCGCAAGGCCTAGGCCAAGCCCGCCGTGTGTTTGGCCTTCGTACTTAGTACGAAGTTCCGCAACGTGACGGTTTGACGGGAGACGATTTAAAGTTACGAGCCGGCGCGATAACAAACGTGAAGGATTGAGGTGATGTCGCGACAAAACAGCAGTGAATCCCACTTGTCTATTTGAGCGCCTTCTAATCGGCAAGGTGTTTTTGAATGTTGATACATGTTTGTTTGGATTTACTTAAAACTGAATGAAAATCGTCATCAGCAATAAACTTCTAGTCAACAGTTCAGTTGACAAAAATCTGACGGGCACAGCCGGTCTTGCCCAGTTAACAAACCGCCACTGCTTATCTCCCCATGGACAATGTTACATTCGAAGCACAAGGCTATTTGAGTACCCACCACCGCTTCAAAGCGCAGCGAATGGTTTTTCTGTATGCTGGCATACTTAGCTCCCCTTGCACGATTCGACATTCAAAGCATAAGACTTTATGGGTACCCATCACGGCTTCAAGCACAGCGAATGGTTTTTTTGTATGCTGGCATACTAAGCTCCCCTTGGACAATGTGACATTCTAAGCTTAACACTTTGCCATCATATTTTGGGGAAAATCCAAAGAAACTGAGTGGTAAACATCGCCAATCGGCGAGATGAGGTGGCAAAGTGTTAAGGCCTTCATGAGTACCCACCGTCACTTCGAAGCGCAGGGAATGTTTTGGTTTTTTTATTGTAGGCTGACAGACTTACTTAGCTCCCCTTGTACAGTTCGACATTCAAAGCACAAGGTTATGAATGTTGTGATGTGATGTCATTGAATTGCGCTGCGCTGCGCGTGATTAGAGCCAGTCGTGTTTCGACCCCCACCCCCCCAAAAAAAAACAACCCAAAAAAATCAACCAGCCACCATAGCCTACTCGTGGGGAAATCCAAAAGTTTTATCCAATTTGTGGGTAGGCCAAGGTGCAGTGGGAGGATGGCAGGCAGGGACTAACAAAATGAGAGATAAAGAGTATTATAAGCCGAGCTGGCTAGGCTAAAAATACACATTACACACCTTGCTGTTACACTCACATTGCCCTTTGTCTCAATCCCTATTCTGTTGTCTGTTCTCTCTCTTACTTAATGACTGCATTGTCGATTGTTGGAGTACATTCAGTTCCCTTGATTTTGTCCATTTTAGGTCGCTTCTTTGATAGTTGCACTTTTGTGTAATTTCAGAGATTGCATTGTCCTTCAGATTGCAAATTTGAATTCTGTTTCTGTTATTTGTTCAAAATTATATGCATAATTTGTATTGTTATTAATAGGCCTACTATGCTGCCAACAGAATTCTCTTGAACCTTTTAACCATTTATAGCTTTAAGTTTTTGCTTATATGTAAATCTGAGCGGTTAAATTTAGTGTGATTTGATCAAATTGTACCATGTCAAGCAAATGCATGGGAAGTATTTAGTTTAGTTTAGTAAGTGTTTTACTGCACTTGTAACACAGTAAGGTCATATAAATGCCAAAGATTAGACTGTCTCCGTAGAATTATGCAAATTTAGATGGCCAAATTATGAAGAAAAAAAGCAAAATTATGCAAAATTATGTGAGTTACCGTAACACCATTCGCGACATGTTTAGCACTTTTTCAACAAGAATTTTCAATAAAATGATTTTCATGCTTTATGTACAGAAAAATTGAAAACAGAACAGATCAGTATCAGTAATTTGTTGTGTATTTGGAAAGAAAACAATACAGATCAGTCAGAAAAAAAAAACAACCAAAAAATACAATCTCTGTAACTTTCAGCTGTAGATCTAGATCTAGATTAGATCTACATCTTTATAGAGAGGAAAGAAAAATGTTAAAAAAAAAAAAAAGGTCATCTGGACCTCTGATGCTGGCACATTACTAAAACCAGGGACACCTGTCAAACATGAAACATCAGCAGACATAAGAACAATAACTTTTGATGAATTGAAAAATTGAAAATGCTCAAGGAACAAATCCCAACCCATGACAAAGATCTTCTAACAAGGGAAATAACCAACTTGTCACTTAAATGAGACATATTACGGTGATTACTTCCCTTTAGTCACATGGCGAGGCGTTAATTGTTATGGGAAAAAAAGGGAAAAAACGCTGGGAATCCAAAATTATGCAAATGTTGCAGAATTACGCCAAAAAACGCGGCCAATCGCATAATCCAACCGGGACAGATTAGAGGTATTGCAAGAGAGTAACAAACACAAAAAAGCTTAAATGCTGGAAAACTTGCAACGAGCACCGTGCGTTTAGGCTGAGACTACTGTACTTTCAAAGCTTCCTAGGATTTGTCCAAGCTTCAGCTCCATTACACCCTCCATTTTGTCACATTTACTTTACAAATTCAATACAGCTTATTTCCAAATCAATTTCGACCATTCAAAAACCCCCAAAAAAGAACAACACTACAGTCACTACTTTCGCTTTATAGTTTTCAGTCAATTCTAATAAGACATTCCTCCTTGATCTCATAGTATAGACGGCAGAGTCGTGTGTTCGGTGATTGAAACGGCGCACAAAACGTACCGCTCTAGGACTGAATTGATAGATTCCGCGTAACACTGCTCTAGAGGTACTAAATGGTTTTAACATTGTTCTGTGTAAATCAAAAGTTTTCCAAAAAATCTCAACCGTAGGACTTGCAGCCATAAGTCATCAAGATATGGGAATCGTGAGTGCAAAATGACAAATTTTATTAGTGAATAAAACGTTGGAAAGTGGAAATACGCCCCCGCCCTGCCTTCAGATAAACAAAATGTAAAACAATAATGAATGAGATTTAAATAGGGTAGGTCAGGGCAAATTCGGCCACGGGGCAACTGTGACAGCCGCAACCTAGACTTGGCTTTTGTGAATCATTTGACCCCTGTGTCATGGAATTATCAAAGCCCACTTTTATTCGTCGAACATGATTTTATCTAAAAATAAATTTTGTGCTTCCTAGGCTTCCACTTGTTTCTATTTTTGAGCAAAAAGCTCCAGAAAACACCCATCCAAGTTCGGCGCTCGTCGACGCGTACTTTTTTCTCTTCTTGAAGAAAAAATCAGTACTTGACCTGTCATTTACTTTAGTTAGTTTTAGTAGAAGTTTTACTGCGTTCGCAACTGCATAAGGTCATATGAGCGCCAGAAGATTAGAGGTGTTACAAGAGAGTAACAAACATAAAAAAGAAGAAGGGGAGATAAGGACGATAGATGTTTGATAGAAAAGAAGAAGCAAACCGCACCAGAGCACCTGCCAACCACCCACCATTTACTTTCTCAGGCACGCCTATTTTCTAGCTTGAAAAGATTCATCGGATAAGTATAAATAATGAACATTTAGTATTGTTAGGTTCATTTCAATCCATCTAGAATTAGAAATATTGATTGTATATGAATTTAGTGATTTATTTAAAATAATGGGGTGAGATTTGTTTGGGTGGCTGATGCAAATTCGACATGGTGAAACGGGGCAACTTTGACAGGGGGTGGGCAAATTTCAACCTGACTCAGATTCGTTCCAGGCGGAGCCAAAATACGCAGCTTATATAAGTAGAATCACCTTTAACAAACTATCACATTTCAGCTTAATCTTGTTTGTATCATTTTCATCATGGGTCGAAATCCTTGATCTGTCAGAGACACAAACTAGATCTAGCAGAAATTTAGGCTTACACTAGACTTCCCAACTGTTGCATGTTTGGTAGCTAAGTGTGAGAGTATGTCCATGTGTGAGTGCGTGTGTGTGCGTGTCATGTATACACATGGTATGTCAGGGCTCCCCTTTACGCACAAATGAGCGTATATTACGCATTAAACCTGCAGATTACCCCCTTTAAGTTTTGGTTGTGCGTGAGCTTTACTCTTTATATCCGCATCCGCATCCAAGCCAAATTGGGTTGCATAATTGCCTCTTACAGGAACCAAAGTTGGAAAATACACAAATAAACATTACAGATGTATTCTACAAACCATTATACTGAAAATTTTGGTATAAAATATATATTTATGTTAACCCTCATCCCGTGGGGGCCGGGTTTATGTCGCCCGATAAGCCTATTTCGGCACCTCGCCTGAGTTCTGGTCCCGAGTCAGTCTAGCCCCTGGCTCAGCGCATGCGCGCCGACCATCATCTCACGTGAAATTCGGGTCCCACATCGGATCCCCATTCACGCAGGTCAAGTGTGTGTGCGTCAGTCTGCTTGAGTTTGTGTGCGTTTGTGGCCTTCTTCTAGAACCGCCTGCGTTGGTTTGTAACAATTTATAAAGCTATGAGAAAAATAGAGCATTATTTTCATCATCGATTAACACACTCCCACGGTATTCACGGCGAAAACTCACGTTTCCCGGTGCGCGCGCTATACACCAACAGTACACACTGAGTGATCCCGGCGGCCTGCCTGAAACGTCCGACGTAATCGGATGCTGATAAGATTTGCATCTCAGCACAGACGCAGGACAATAACTGTTAATATTTATTTAAATTCGGGGACCCAAAGACCTTTGAACTGTGCACTATTCATCATCTCATTTCGCCCTCCTGAAAAAAATCCGTCCTCAAGCCGAAAATAATACGTAGCGAATGAGATAAGTTGGCCTGAAAAGGGGAGCCCTGTATGTGAGTAGTGAGTGCATGTCATTGACAGTCTTTGAGTGTGTGCACGCTTGGAGAGTGAGGGAGAGGGGGCAGCAAGGAAAGAGAAGGACAGGGAGAGAGAGAGAGATAGACAGAGAATTCAGCAGAGAAGAGTTGAGAGAGAGGGGGGGAACGAGAGAAAGATAGAGGGGGGGGGAGCAAGTAGTAAGTTGAATAGGAACCCAATACTGTTGAAGATATCTTCCCCTGACTAAGATGCCCACAGCCACAGCCCCTGTCACAGGCCCTGTCGAAGTGCCCCATGTGGGGGGTCGAATTTGCACCAACCCCTAGCGAAGGCATTACACGAACGAAGTGTATACAGACCCGGTAACCGGGAACAAAGTCACGAAGTATACAGACCCGGTAGGGGAACTCTTTTGTGATTTCGGAGAGTTTCAGCGCCCTCTTGGCTCAGGGTAGACCTAGGTTCTTCTAGATCTATGGTCTAGGTCTAGATCTAGGCAGACAGACATAAATAAATCTTTCATCTAGTTTCGCGGCTAACCTAGATCTAAATGAAGATTGCGGATGTCGTTTCGATAAACGATGGTTTTTCCTCCGTTTTGGAATTGGACGAAGAAAAGAACCAGTTACAATGTCATAATTTCAATCGAGCAGTCTCTCTCTCTCTCTCTCTCTCTCTCTCTCTCTCTC